ATATAAATCCTAAGAAAGCTCCAGGATATGATCTCATAACAGGAGAATTATTAAAAAATCTACCAAGAAACGCCATAGTTAAGCTGACACACCTAATAAATGCTGCTTTTAGATTGAGATATGTTCCCAGACTCTGGAAAGTAGCCGAAGTAATTATGATCGCCAAACCAGGTAAATCTCCTAATGAAGTGACATCCTATCGACCTATATCACTCCTTCCGGTGATGTCAAAACTATTTGAAAAACTTCTATTGAAAAGATTAAAACCAATAATAGAAAGAAAAAATCTTATACCGAATCATCAATTTGGTTTCAGAAATCAACATTCCACTATAGATCAAGTTCACAGAATAACGAATATAATAGAAAAAAACATTAGAAGAAAATAAAGTCTGCTCTACAATCTTCTTGGATGTAGCACAGGCGTTTGATAAAGTCTGGTATGACGGTTTAAACTATAAACTAAGAACGTTCATGCCTAAACAGTATTCAGAAATCTTGAAATCATACATTGTGAATAGATATTTCAGAGTAAAACAAGAAGAAGTGTACACCGACTTAAGGGAGATCAAAGCTGGCGTGCCACAAGGAAGTGTCTTAGGTCCGGTCCTGTAACTATTGTATACGTGTGACATCCAGAGCTAGAACAAAATACTATTGCCACCTTCGCGGATGATACAGCCATACTAGCGATAGGAGACACTAGTGAAGAAGCGACTGATAAGTTGCAACTATCAGTAAATAAAATACATAACTGGACCAGAAAATGGCGAATAAAATTAAATGAGACTAAATCTGCACACATTAACTTTACCAATAAAAAAATAGATAATTTCCCAGTTAGAATAAATGATACCCGAATTCCTTATGCAACATCAGCAAAATACTTGGGCATCACCCTAGACGCGAAGCTGCGCTGGAAAGTCCATGTCAAAAAGAAAAGAGGGGAGCTTGATATTAGATATAAGAAATTGTATTGGCTGATTGGAAAAAATTCAACATTATCAATTCATAATAAATTATCCATCTACAAGCAAGTACTGAGGCCAGTATGGGTATATGGGTGCCAACTCTGGGGCTGTACCAAAGCTAGTAATCTACATATAATCCAGAGATTTCAAAATAAAGTACTGAGAAACATTGTTGATGCTCCTTGGTATATCCGTAACAGCAACCTCCACCAGGACCTGGGTATGAAAACTGTGATCGAAATAATCAAGAGAACAGCAGCAGGTCACGAGCAGAGGCTGCATAGTCATGTGAATGTCGAGGCAATCCAGCTTCTTGACAACACTGAACTAAAGATAAGATTCATAAGGACAAAACCATTTGAGCTAGTGTAAATGTGTAACAGTTTAGTGTAAAAAGCAGAGTATAGTGCTGTGAAGTTATTGCATGTTAGTTGTAGTGCGTTAGTTAATAGATAAAATAAGAGTAAGCCATAGGGTAAGCCCTTCGATTTAAGTATTGGCTGTTATTATGTTAGGTCAGAAAATAACTGATAATTGGTCATTTGTGACCAGATAGCAGTATATAAACACCGCACAGGTGTTAATAAAAAAAAAATGAAAGTATTTACCTATAAAAGCTTCAACTCATTCAGTGATGTTTCTTTTACAGTTAACATTTTTTCATTACATATGCGACCACGTTCTCTGTTAGTTTCCACTATGAGTAAATTGAGCATTTCATTAGTGAAAAACAATCTCATTGAAGATATAGGTTTATCGGTAATTCGTTGAATGGCATATCTGGTGGGACCTGGCACAGGATTTAGTATATTGATGGATCTAAACACTAATATACAACGCAATTAGTAAAACCCACAAGTTTAGTAAGAAAATATGTGTAGCACTTGAGCCACCACTTACCTTACACGTGACTGAGGTGGTGGATATTTGTTCCAAACTGTCCCATCGCGAGCAGTATATTGTAAATCTTCTTGTTCAGGAACTTCTATTTCATTTTCCGAATTTTCGTTTTTATCTTTGTCATCATCAACCGTAGATACACGATCTTCTTCAGAAAATTCTTCATCTACTAACACTTTATCACTAGTGATGGTTTCTAAATTTATAGATTCATCTTCATTTTCTGAGCCTTCTTCAAGGATTTTTCGTAATTCCTCTTCCGTGAGTCCTTTCCTGGAGCTCATTTTTCAGCAAGCCCTTAATATTCTGTTTTTCACAAATGATTGTACAGCACACTCTCAACTCTAAACTTCAAGCGATCAAGACTGGTACAACATTAAAGATACCCGACAAACGCTTCCGAAAATAGAACCCATAAAATCTAATCACCCTTCTCAGAAAAATAAACAAAACAAACATCACGTACATTTGGAAACATTTCTGGGTACAGGTGGACCCATAAACAACAGATGTGTTTCTTTCAAAGAAAACCAAACTGATATTTCAAAATGCATATACGTTAAATTGTATATAAACCTTATCTTAAGGATATAATGAAACATTACGTCTCAAATTTATGATATAATAAATATATAAACATTTGAATTTTACTACTGGGTCCAGGCGTACCCAGAGACAATATAAAGGTTAAAATCAACACTAATGAGACAACTCTGAGTTAAAAATGGGCTTTGAACTTTATCAATTGCTCCTAACGCTAGTTATGGTCCAAGCTGTAGAGACAAAAATTATTGATTTTGAGCATTAATTGGTGAATTTTTGAAACCAACACAGCGCTATGAAGGGCAAGTGCAGATATCACTGAAATTTTCTGGGTGTTGTCCTTGACAATTTGCACATTTTGCCTTTTGCTCACGGGGCATCTGAACATTTATGCTGGAGTGGTTTTCACCGCATCTGACACATCGAGGTGCTTTGAAGCACGCTCTCTGCGCGTGATGGTACTCCTGGTAGTTAAAACACTGCGTGGGCCCAGTTGCTTTTCCGATGTCCTCGATATGAACTTTTATATGCATCAGGTTGGTGATGCGCTTTCCTTTTTCTACGCCCTCCTTCTCCAGTGTCAGCACAAACATGTGTAGATTTCTTTTATCACTTTTTCTGAAGATCATGTTCTTTATCGATACGCATTCGATATCATACTCTTCTTTCAGAGTATTGAACATTTCAGGGATTTGTATTAGGAGGTAATCCTCTTAAAACCATTCTTGGTTTTATGTCTTCTTCTAATGGAAAGGCTATCCACTGTATTGGTGTAGTTCGAATTATATTCTTCTATGATTTTCACTCTAGATCTATAATCTTCAGGACTTTTTGCTTGTATAAGCGTTTCTCGCCCGCTTCGTGATAACTTGTTTGCCGTTATTATTTTCTTTTTCTGTGCAATACTTAATATTGCTCCCGTCTGACTGACGCTCTGTAATTTTATTACAGGCGGCTTTGGCTTCCACGATGGTTTTTTTTTTGTTTTGTGGGTTCTCTGTCGGTTTCCATCGTTTGTGTTTGACATCGAGTCGGAGGTCGCGGTGTAGCGTGCGCATCACCTTCCTGATGGATTCCTGGTGTTGTTGCATTTCACGACCTTCTTTTTTCCTTTTTTAGGCTCGTCTTCTTCTATACCTGCTTTTTTGTTGTCTTGTCGGTGGTTGTCGTTTTTGTCTTTGGGATTGCTCCCTTAGATTTTTCCTTCTCGGGATTTGACGTCTTTCTGGCCTGGTTTTCCAAGGTATCCTCTTTTCGGCTCGCGTTGTCTTCTTTTGTTTAGTGTTGTTCGTTTCGTTGTTAAGTTCTTCGAACTTAAAGTCGATGTGTCCTTGGATGAAAGCTGATTTTTCGACCGTGTGGCCCGTTGCCAGCAAGGCTTCTGGGTGCCACCCAGTAACCTTCCGCGAAAGGTCACACTCTAGGCAGAACTAGAGTAGGATCATCTTTCTATTCTCACCTCCCTGACCTTGGGATATTACACGTCACAGTGTCATCCCAAACAATGGCGCAGGGAGTATCCCAACGGACTAAGCCTGTTTGCTTCTTCACTTGCCTATGTCTCGATTTTGGCCTCCGTGAAGACTCGATTAATACAAATCTTCCCGGTTTAGCTTTGTTGCGGCGTAGGCTTTTGCCTCTCAAGTGGCCTCTCAATCTCCGTTTAACAGTCTGAGCCGTGGATGTAGACCCACGGCTCAGGATGATAACGGCTCAGGCGGGCACTGCTTACTGCACGTCAGTACTGCTCAGCGGCTGGCGCTGAACACTAACAAAATTCCTTACTTAATTCTAATCATACTTCAACACGTCTGGTCAGCGTGGGTGGAGGATTATGACTTTTGCTCTAAATATGGCGAATTTTAAAACAGGGAAATGTATCCCAGGTGGGTAGGACATTAAATGTCAAATCTCACACCTTGAAAGAGGTCTTCCTCATGGATTCTGAGGGAGGTACTAGATTTTAGACGAGAAAAGTACAGGTTTATTTCAACAAGTATGGCACCGCTCCAAAAAGAACTGAAAGAATTTCTCATAGAAAGAACATATTTCCAGATGTACGATTTGATGGTCTAAATCATTTCGTAGTTTCTCACCGAATACCTGTCTTTGCCGAATGCCTGTTTCCTGTCGATGTGCAGGTACAAATTGTAAATCTTTCGGCCGAACAATGTGTCAAAAATGTAACGTGGGATTATGTGTTAATTGTTTTGCATCATTTTATACATAATTTATAATAGAATAGGTTGTAATTTTTGTTTAATAACATGTAATAATTAGTTTTAATTTTTGCAATAAAATGAACCTAAACGCAAACTTATACCATACGGTATCAGCATTTTTTATCCCCTGTACATAAACTTTACAAAAAAAATATTTTTAGTCAGTTTTATCAAACATCTTTAAAATATATAAGAAAAATAAAAAATTAATTTGGACGTTAATGAAGTAACCCCATATGAACATTGTATTTAACTTAGACATGCAACAAGAAAATAGTTACAGAATCTTTTTAAACTATGTTTCCTCAATTTATCAAATTTTAAATTTCTTCACTTTTAATTAATTTCTTATATTTTATATTAGGTAAAGTTGTTTCCGGCTATAGAGTGACAAGAGACAGAGATGGATTCGATCATTGGTCTTTGCTAGGTAAAAGAGACCCACTCACACCTCAGATGTTTTATCCAGTGTTCGATGATACCCCCATCATGCAAGGAGACCGTTTGGTAAGTATAGTTATTATGGCCTTCACTTTTGTTGCACACTTTATTTTGTATGTATTGACTTAGAAAATAATACATTTGTATTAATTCTTAGGCTGCTCGATGTACAATGGATAGTTCGCATAGAAACAGGTTTACCCAAGTTGGGTAAGTAGATTTTTTTACTCTTGAACAATCCTTTTCGAAGAATAGAAAAATGTACCGGGTGGTCCAATAAGCCGATCTCTCGGCTATATATCAGAAACTATTCATGTTATAACTTTAGGAGAAAAAATTCCTTAGTAAAAGTGGCCAAGAGAAATCGCTGAAAATAACTTTCAAGTTTCTGGGTTAACCGCTAGGGGGCGTAACCTGTGAAGAAAACTTTGAAAACCAGTTTTTTTTAGAAATATGCTCAATTATACCAAGTGTTAAATAAGTAAACTAGAAAGAGGCCTTAATTCTTCACAAAGTTGTTCAAGTACTTTTTTTTTTATTTTTTGAAATAAAGGATGGGGGAGAGCGGGGAAGTATTAGTGGATAAATACCTATAACTTTGGATTGGATTAACTGATTTTAACAAAATTAGTGTCGTTAGAAAGAGTGTGGATGAATTAATTTAAATCTACTATAAAATAATTGAATTTAGTTTTAATTATCATAGGTAGAGGGACTTTCGAATAGAAAAAATTAAAATTCGTTTTTCTTCAAAATGTTTATTGGAGACACCTATTTATTGTAAACTATAATGGAACTGGATTAAATTCGTAACAAAATAGCAGAAACTGCATGTTAATAGCTTTTGTCGAACTCGAGATATGAATAAAAAACGCATAAAGATAAGTAAGTATAGTATTGACTCACCCTGTATTATAAATTAAATTAAAAAATAAGTCAGTAGGTACTTTCAATTTTTTTATAGCAAGAGAATCTTAATGTTGATACCTATTTTGACCATTGTTATTTTATATGATTAAAAGTAGTTTTTTCGAAAGTGTTATTATTATAATCCGAATTGAAGATTGCACTTTTTTCAATACATGTTTAATATTGGTAATATTAGTAATTAATTATGAGTACTAATAATCCGTGATGAGTATATCAAATGCAGAATTGTATGATATGATTTGAGTTTATTTCGAATGTCACCAAAATTCTGCTATTGCCTCACGTATATATTCTGTAAGATATCCAGATAGGAGACATTATGGCAAAGAAGTATTTGAAAGAAAGGTAAGAAAATTAAAGGAAACTGGTAGTTTTAAACGATGTAGTAGAGGTATGACCGAAGATAATTCAATCAATGTTCTTGCTTTAATTCAACAGACCCAAAACTACTGTTCTAAGGATTTTAAAACATCACAAGTTGGATTTTCATATTATAAAGTGAACGTTTAGGTCAGAAACTTGGAATTCCCTTTAAACTTTAGATTCAATTGGTATTTTAATATTCCGATAAAAACGGCAACACGGCGCTTTTATCCTTTTGTCCTTTACTTAAAAATACTTATGCACGATTTATCTTTTTAAGATTTTTGAGTTTTAGTAAATATAGTGGTTTCTTTTTTACCAATATTTGTTGTTCTGTTTTTTTAGACTGCATCCTTATCATGTAGTTCTCCACCAAGCTTTACATGAGAGAGATTTTAATGCAAGGCTGAATTACTGCAATTGGATATTAGGTCTGCTAGAAGAACAATCGCGTATCATGTCAAAGATTTTGTGAACAGACGAGGCTACGTTTAATAGTGCGGGTGGTGTTAATCTGCATAATATGCATTATTGGGCTAAAGAAAATCTGCATTGGATACATGAGGTGCAGGTTCAAGGTAGATGAAGTCTTAATGTTTGGTGTGGTATAGTTGATGTAAAGATCGTAGGTCCATATTTCTTTGATATAACTTTAAATATTTGGATTTTCTGGAAAATCAGTTGCCTGTTTTATTGGAAGATATTTCCTTACAAACAAGAAGAGACATGATATTACAACATGACGGGTGTCCTGCGCACTTTTCCAGATGAGTTCGAGATTTTTTGTATGCAAGTTATCGAAATAAATGGATTGGAAGGGGAATCTCCAGACTTAAGATATCTGGACTTTCATCTGTAGGGAAGATTGGAGGACTTAGTGTACCAAACTTGACCAACCACGCGAGTCGAGATGAAACAGCGCATTATAAACACAATAAATAATATATCAACAGCTGAGATTGAAGCAGCTGTTATGTCTACGCGCGAAAGATTACATCTTTGTGTGGACAATGATGGAAAACAATTTGAACATTTAATTGAATATTAAGTTTTAATGATCGAGATGTTGGTATGATTCTTCACATATTTAATTTTCAGTTATAATAAAGGGTGAGTCAATACTATATTTATTTATGTTTATGCGTTTTTATTCATATCTCGAGTTCTACAAAAGCTATCAACATACGGTTTGTGCCGTTTTGTTACGACTTTAATCCAGTTCCATTATATTTACAATAAATAGGTGTTTCTATTAAACATTTTAAAGAAAAATAAATTTTAATTTTTTCTATTCAAAAGTACCCTCTACCCATGACAATTGAAACTAAATTCAATTGTTTTATAGTAGATATAAATTAAATCATCCATACTCTTTATAATGACACTAATTTCGTTAAAATCGGTTGATCCAAACCAAAATTATAGGTATTTATCCACAAATACTTTTCCACTCTCCCCCACCCTTTATTTAAAAAAATAAAAAAAAGTACTTGAACCACTTTGTGCGCAATTTAGGCCTCTTTCTAGTTTACTTATTTAACACTTGGTATAATTGAGCTTATTTCACAAAAAACTGGTTTTCAAATTTTTATTCACAGGTTACGCCCCCTAGCGGTTAACCCAGAAAGTTGAAAGTTATTTCCAGCGATTTCTCTTGACCACTTTTACTAAGGAATTTTTTCTCTTAAAGTTATAACATGAATAGTTTCTGATATATAGCCGAGAGATCGGCTTATTGGACCACCCGGTATATACCTATGTAACTTATAAAAATGTAATGAGTAAACACAGTCCCGTAATTCTATATAGATGATTTGTTGTCGACGTTTGACATGACTGTCTGATATATTCGCTCCGTGCAGCTGAACAGGCTCTCTATAGGTTATTAAATCATAACCATAAGATTTACACCATTGAGTACATTTATATAAATCTGCAGTAATAAAATCAAAAATTTGTAATTAATCGTAAATATTGTCTGTATAATAATTATGTATAATATAAATAACGTTATCGTAGTATTTATGTATTCTTCTTAATCTAAGGTTGGAAAGGTATGTTATGGTAATGGTAAGGAATGAAGATTGGCTACTATCCAACAGGAATTGCAAATTCTTTTCTATCTTCAGCTCTTCTTATTAGCTGTTTAAATTTAGCCTTGTCCATTATCGGATGTTTCTTAGCCACGTTAGTATTTTCCTTCCTAGTCCTCTCTTTCCATTTGTTTTATGTATTTTTTATTATAGAAAAATATATTTGTTGACAGTTCAAAATTTGGATATTTTTACAAACACATAAGTTGAAGTTATATACACTCACCGGCACAATTAACCGCGCACCTTGTATTTCTTTCAGTTTACAAAAATTTTCAATCTTGGACCACATTTTATGAAAGGTACGGTGAAAACTACCTGTGAGGAAAAAAAAAATAATAAAATTATCGAAAAAAGGTCTTTTTTTCAAGTGATGCTTAGTAAAAATCCAATGTTTAAAAATCTTCCAAGAAAATTGAAATAAAGATAATTTTGAATCTAGATCTTGGCCTGCCTCTCTTCCTGGTTTCTACTGGCTCTTGATATCTTGATCTTGATCTGTCTTTGGGGTCTCCAGTGTCCATTCTTTCAAGGTGTCCAAACCACCTTAGTCTATTAATTTTAATAGACCGGACGATGTTGCATTTTTCACAGCATTGGTACAACTCAAAATTGTAGCGCCTGCACCATATCCTGCTTTCTTGTATTCGTCTTTCAAAGCGGCCTAACAGTTCTTTGTCTCTTTTTACCATAGTCCATGTCTCTGACGCGTATGTCAGGACAGGTTTAATAAGAGTTTCATATATTAGTATCTGGGTTTTTGTGCTAATTATGTGTGATGTTAAGAACTGCTTTAGTCCAAAGTAAGCTCTGTTCGCCAGGTATATTCTTCACTTAATTTCTACGCTCACTAGGTTGCTGTTATTTAGTTGTGTTCCAAGATATATAAACTTCGAGACCCCTTCGAATGTGTGTGCTTCTGTCACCAGATCTTGTGGTTCTGCTATTTGTGTGCTGTTCGTGACTTTCATGTATTTTGTTTTGGATACGTTAACCTGCAGTCCCATTGTCTTCGCGGCTTTTTCTAATGTTTCAAAAGCCTGTATCAGGTCTCTTTTTGTCCGTGTTACTATGTCAATGTCATCTGCGTAGGGCAATATCTATACACTTCTATTGATGATCGTACCTTTGGTTGTTATGCCCGAGTTCTCTAGATCTGGCGTAATCCAGTATATGTTTGAAAATACCTTGACACTCTGTTTTGTACCTTGACTTTGCACTCAACTTTCGAAAGAGTTGCCTTTACCAATGTTATTAGATGCGACGGAATATCTAGTTCTGCCGTGGCATTATAAAGTGCGCTTCTGTCTACACTGTCATAAGCGCTTTTAAAATCTATGAAGAGGTGATGGGTATCAATTTCATATTCATATGTCTTTTCTAAGGTTTGTCTGAGAAGGAAAACTTGTTGACCTTTCTTTTCGGAATCCACATTGGTATTTGCCTATTTTTTCTTCAGTATATACTAGTAAACGATCATAAAGTATATAAGCCAGTACTTTGTAAGCCGTATTTAGGAGGGTATTGCCTCGATAGTTGTCACGTATTAGTGGATCCCCTTTCTTGTGAATAGGTATTACAATACCTACATTCCAACTGTCTGGGAGTTTTCCTTCTTTCGAAATGGATGCAACAAGTTTTATTATGTATTTTTTTTAGGGCGTTTGCTCCATACTTGAACAGCTCAGGGGGTATTCTCCAGGGGATTTGTTGTTTTTTAACCTTTTTTTGCCTTGGCAACTTCTTCTGTTGGTATATTATTTTTCTCCCTCTCGCCGTCTACGTCTCCACTGTGGTCATTTATGTCAGTCACTTCTTGGTTGCCTAT